GGAACTAGTCTGACGTGCATTCAAACCTCCGAGAATAGACACGTCCAAGGAGCACCAGACTTAGTCAAACACTCCATGTGCTCCAGACTTGGGGAAGGTCCAATGTCAGTGAGAATTCTGGATTTTGTCTCCAAATACACCTATTTTTTACCAATTTATTTGTCAAATAGGAAAGCCACCTGATGCAGTTGCTCCGGAGGAAAATAGTTCATACAAGCCTCTGTCAAGGCATGATTGTACGGCTCCGGAGCAACCTTCAAAATCTTCCAAACTTCTCTTATAAATACCCCCTTCTATCAACACCTCAAAGACATAACACTCAAGCTATTCTTGACCATCTAAGAAGGTCTCTTTCTTACTAAAACTTTGAGTGATCTTCCTCTGAGCGAAATCTTTTTGTGTTTAAGGCTATGTGTTCTTCGAGTTTGTGCTATTTGAGCTTAAAGATCTTCAAAATACTTAGTGAGACTCTGCTCAGATCTTGAGTGTTCATCCTCATAAAGTCTCAAAACACTTTGTTTGATCCATCCAAACTCGTTTACAAGCTATATTCAAAGTAATCTGAGATTTCTCCAAGAGTCTGAGAATCGCCTCCGTGGTTGAACTCCGCCGCTCCGGAGCACACTTCCAGAAAGTCGTAAAAAACTTCGTCTGTTGACATCTATTCTCAGAGCAACCTGTGTTCCTCTAAAGTGGACTTTGCCTCCTCTATTGAAAGTCTGTAAAACTTACTCACAAAGCAACCTGCATTCCTCTAGAGTGAGAATTTACCAACTCTCGCAAATAGTCTTATCCATACCAATCAAGTCATACATCCGCTCCTAAGGCAACCCGCGCTTGTCCTCGGAGCACTCCTCCAAATAGCCTTATCCACACCTTACGAGTCATATTCTCACTCTAGAGGCAACCTGACCTTGTTCTCGGAGCACTTCTCCAAATAAGCCTTATTCACACTCTTCGAGTCAAATCTCCATTAACCGTGCAGTTACTCCTCCCACCATAATTCGTCATGCGATCTACATGACTGTATCCGAAGTCCTCCTATGTGCGTAAGTTGGTGTCTTGGCGATTTGGCGACAAAGTAAGCCCTAGAATCCATTTTCTTCGGCTTCCTTTGGACCTAACTGATCCTATCTTCTCTGTTGGAGGTCTTACCGCACAAGCTCCTCTATGAATACTGCATGTTTCATCTGCGTCAGCACTAACACCACTAAATCATGTACTTGTACGTGTATACCTTATACACGTCGTACCCACTAAATCTACTAGGTCCAACAACCTTCAAGATCAACCATGTCCCAGAAGTATTGATTCAGACCTACCATTGCGATTTTTGCTTTTGTCCAGAAACGTGTTTTATGGAGAAGAAAAGAATTTTGTTATAGTCATATTTAAACAAACAACAATACTTTTTTTTTTGTTTTTGAGAAATATGTTAAAACATGATGAGAAATCATACCTCTTCAACATGACTCTGTAGCATGTTGGTTTGTAATATACTTTCATTGGGTGGCATAGTCACATTTAATGGAAGAGAGAAACGTGGCCTTTCTATCAGAAGATTTTGCAGGTAACTTTTGATTTTCGTTTTGTCTGTAGATAAAGAATATATTATCTGAGTGATAAATTATGTTAAGCGATGAATTAATTGTTTCAGTTTTGGTGCGTAATTGTGTAGTTGCTTGTGGCAGATCAGGCTCAATAAGTATATAACTAGTTAGGTTTGTGCACAAAGATAATCTATAATATTTAAGGGGAAAAAATTAGTAATAGTATGTTGGAAAAAAAAAAGGACGGGATTCGTTGCAATTTTCCATGTTATGATAGTGCATTTGTTAGAAAAATGGCTTGTTAAGCCATTTTAAAGGCTCATTTTGAAGCTTATATTCGGATGAGGTTCAATAAATTTTTAGGACAGGTCTCGATGGATTTGCATTCTCTGAGGAGATCGAAATCGAATATTCATACACTCAAAATGATTTTTGGGTGAATGAAAAATTGATGATCTAAGTATGTTACTTAGAATGGTAAATGTAGAAGAAAATTGCAAAAAGTCCCACATTTGCTAGGAGTGAAGCTAATGTGGTGTTTATAAGTGATTGCACTTTGAAGCCTAGGTAAACATATATGCTAGAGAGGCTCTCTCACGTGCAGGGGGGGTGCGAAGCACGATCCCAGCGGGTGGAGGCCTAATGTCTGCGCTCGTGACCTGCGAATACAAATGCCGGACTGGAAAATTTCCTATGTGCAAGCTTACTTTTGCAATTTTTATTTTTGTTGCAACCAAGACCTTCCAGCTTCCAACCGTTTGCCCTTAGCATAAAGCTGTGCTTAATGGCTGGTAAATGAGATTAAAGAAGGCTTAATGGGATGCTTAATACCGAGATTAATTGTGATGTTAAAGGCTGGTTATTGAATCAATTTTTTCATGAATCTGGATGTGTATTGTGGCCGGGTTCAGGAAACGTTTTATCCACAATTAAAATGGAGATTAAGGCCTTTAATTCCTGGTTTCATAACCTATCCATGAATCTGGATGTGTATTGTGGCCGGGTTCAGGAAACGTTTTATGCACAATTAAAATGGAGATTAAGGCCTTTAATTCCTGGTTTCATAACCTATTTTCCAGAGCCTATATAAGGCGTCTTCACATGAAGGAGAGGGACACTTACACAAAAGCATATTCTGCTCTTCTCCAACGAGTTCTTCTTCTTTTTCCAGTTTCTTTGTGTTCTTGTAGTTCGGTTTGGTGATAGAGGAAAGGTCCGAGTTCTAGTTTGCCGGACGGTTCCGATAGTGCATCGACCTACCGTCGTTGTCGGTGTATCCTCAGAGACGGACGTCCTACGTTGCCTCAAGCACTCACCGGAGGAGACGAATCTGTTTTAAGGAAAACGTGGCTCACATGCCTCGACATCCTTGCAACTTTCATTTCCGAGTTTTGGTAAAAATATTGAATTACATTTGTATGAATTTCAATTTTGTTCTTCCTTACCTTGTTCCTCTTTTTGTATTATCCACTATTTCGGCTAACATCATTTGCCATCGACAAAACAACCCCACATTGTTAGAATCAATGGTATCTTTCTGCAAATAAGTATATATCAAACAATATTGACATCTAGTAGATCATTTAACAATGATAATCACAAGTAATCTAAAATGTTTATATATTTTTTAATAGTGAAAGTTATAAAACGGAAAATGGCCTTCTATACTCACAGTGATTTCTTGAATTTGAACTGGACCAGTGTCTATTTGTATTTGTTTTCGTGGATGAGTCTCCAATGCCAGTGCCAAAATGTCTATAATTATTAAAAATTAATGGTATTATTAAATATATATATAATATTGTTTTTCTAAAATTGAGTATACTATATATAATAGAAATAATTACATAAAATGTCTATTATTGAAGCTTTAATTTTAAGAATATCGATTATTATACAATATTATAAAAATACTGATTAAGACATATATATTACTGGATATGTCTTTATAGGTTATTTTTAAGTATGTTCCATATATAATTAATTTTTGTTTTATGTAATTTATTTGTTTTTTCTCATAATAATTCACATTTTTTCTTTTTTAGTTTTAACTGATTGTCTGTAATCAATTATTTTATTTATTTTTAATTTAGTACTTGAATTTAAGCGTTCTATTTCTTTTTTCTTTATATTACAAAATCAATACGTTTTATTTCAATTTAAGCGTTCTATTTAATGTAAAGATATACAACACGTATTGATTGTCGTCATTAGCAGACACGTCTCCCACTAGATCTTTTGGTAGAGGGTTTCAATGACGTCTCTTTTGATTTTTTGGGTGAGTAGATCACTTTTCTTTGGGAGAAAGAGAGAAATATGTTAAGATTTGAGATGAATTAAAATTAATAGGCCAATAGTTTACATAAGTTAATAAATAGGCTAAATTACTGTTTTCGTCTATAATTTGTCTGGTTATGAACCATAACTTGACAAGTTATTCACGATTTTTGTCCATAACTTGTCTAGTTATGAACCATAACTTAACAAGTTTGTTCATAACTTATCTGGTTATGAACCATAACTTGTCTATGGCCTATTAATTTTTATAACTAAAAATTGGCATATATACTTTCTTAAATTTTTCATATTGACCTATTTTCTACAATTTCTGTTTTTCTTTCCGGGTGTTTTAGTATGCCTTTTCCATAGGTTGTTTATTTCTTTCTCATTATCTTATGTTTACTTTTGTTTATTTCTTTTTAACTTTTTATCACTAAATTAAAGTAGGAAGTGTGAACCTAATTAGATATATCAATTAATCTCTCTCCATTTACTTAGAAAATAGAATGAAGTCTCATTTTATATTCGAGCACCGAATAAAATGTCATATCAATTATATTTTCAACTTAATGGTTCAAATTGAAAACCAAAATGCATGGTTTGTACACACGCCATTATTATTATTTTTTTTTCTTCATGTCCTCTTCCTTTTCTCTTGTAATTTGTTTCTCAAATATGTGTAAAATTCTTTAAGCCACAAGTAGGGAATTCCATGTAAGTTTAGTATCGAAGTTCGTTTTGAACAAAATAAATATAGTACAACTCGGAATAGTTATGATTGCATTAAGAATATCATAGAGGCAGACATATAATCTCTTTATTACGATACGAAATATCAAAACTTGTTTAAACTAATATATGGATCATTTAGAGAACTCACCGTGTCTTTTAAATATGAATATAAGTAGTACAATCAATATGGGCATCAAAATTTTAAAACCAAATATATAGATATAAAGAACTCTTTCAGTGGCTGAGAAAAGGCCAGCACAATTTTTCCTCTAGGGTCCATGGAATAAGTGTCATTTCTCATCAGTCCCATTAAGGCAAATTGCAAAAGCAGATTCAAAGCGCAACATTATATAATATTTTGAAAATAGTCCCACTTGTTCCAATTTTGCCTATATAAAGAGCTCAACAAGATTGCCTCTCAGCACCAAGCAAGAGAAACAAAGAAATCAAACTCTCCATTCTCTTAATTTCGGTGTGAAATGGCTTCAGCCCAATGCAACAGGCCCGCCAATGAGACCTGCCAGCAGAAATGCCAAGGCAGTAGCTCACTGGGCCAGAAGATGTCTGGAATGGCCGGCTGGGCCAAGGGAACTCACAGCCAACAGGAGACTAAGCCGAGCTGCCAGGCCCCAGCCCAGGTCCATTCCTGCCCGAACCAGGGAACGTGCAAAGCTCAGACTCACCAGGCGTGCCACACTGCGGCTAAACCTCAACCTCACTGCGGGGTTAACAAAGCTAGCGGCCCCCACCACACCCACACCCACAGGCATGGCCACGGCCACGGCCACACCAAGCACCAGACCACTAACGGCGCCGCTTCGTGCCACTGCGCTGCCAACAAAACTAATGGCCGTCACAACCACAACCACCTCACTAATGGCGGTACCGCGGTGAAGTGCGAGCAGAAGGAGAGAAACCTTTTCAGGAGGATTAAGGATCGTATTTCTGGCAATAGTAGTTGCAGCGACAACAGCGATAGCGAAAGTGACAATGAGTGTTGCCACAAAAGAAAGGTAAATTTTGTTGAAAGTAAAGGTAGATATCACCCGTTTAATTCGTTGATTTGAGTTTTTAATTTGAGTTAAGATGTGATTTTATGGACCCGTTTAATTCGTTGATTTGAGTTTTTAATTTGAGTTAAGATGTAATTTTATGTGAGAATTTTTTATTATAATAAAAAAATTAGATGTAACTGTTTTTAAGAATTTTTTACTGTAACAAAACTCAATTTTTAAAATCAAATCAGTAAAATGAACGGGATCTTACTGTACTGTATTATGCTAGTCGAAAAAAATATGATAAAATCTATTACTTGCATAAAGCAATGCTCTGTTAATAGGGTTTTTTTTCTTTTTTTTTATACGTAGCTATTCTAGAAATCTCAAATAAAGAATGTCACGAAAACAATTTCAGAACTTAAGTGTAGGACTCATCATTTATCCACATAATTTATTTTGTGAAAATTAATCAAACTGAGACTTTGAAAAAAAAAAATTAAATAGATGGAATGTGCATGCATGTGAAATATGAAGAGTATGATGTGCATATTTTTGCAATATTAATTTTAAGTATTGTTTAGTTAGTGGATTCGAACCCTGATTCGAATCATGGTTCGTAGTTCGCTACAGTATTTTTTCTCACAAAAAACACACGTAAATTGAGAATAATTTTGAATCATGATTCTGAATTCATGAACCAAACATCCACTTAGGGTCTGTTCTTTTGGAGTGTAACTTGAGTGTAATTTTTGAATTGAATTTGAGTTATAACTTGAGTTGAAATTGTAACTTAAATAAAGTTGAATAAAGTTAAATAAAGTTGAAACTTAAAAGAACATAAACTTAAATAAAATTGAAACTCGAGTTATTTTTTTTTTAAATTTTTTAGACAAAAGAACAAGCATTGGTCTCTGTGATCGAATGATTCATTTTAAACCATATGTTGTGCTTGCAGAATTGAAAAGAAGCATCTGCGAGTGCTGATGAAATGCCAACGTCACCAACAGAATGAAAGAGCATGGATCCAACTACAATAATAAGTAAATAAAATGTAACTGGATCAAATAAATGCAATATATATATATACACTATAATAATAATTATTATTATAATAATGATTATAATAATAATAATAGCCAAATGATATGACTTGGCTAAGAAACTAATTGTATCCCCAATATTAAATAAGCAATATCTATGGCTATGAATGATGTTTATGTTATGACTTCTATAATGATGCAACTAGCTCTTTCCTTGTGTGACATGGCGCCTAACCAACGCCATAGCTAAATTTTACTTTTCATTCGTAATTGTGATTTTTCAGTCCGAGAACATGAGCAACATTTTCTTGTAACTTGAAAAACATAAAAATGATAATTATCGATCGCGGCAACTTGATTCTTGAAGCTATTGTATAAGATGGATATCTATATTCCCATCAAAATGATTAGAGACACCATTAATATTAAATATGACAATTAATAAAAGATAAGGCTCGCTTTTTGTTAGAGTGTGTGGTGCTTTAAATTACTGAAAGTGTCCTTAACATTGTTCTATTAAAATTCAAATTCAATCAAGATCATTTGTTAACCTAAACTATGGAAAGATATGTCATACGTTTCGGCATATAAACAAGTACTAAACTTCAGTTTGAGAAAAGTATATCATTCAAATATTATTAATGTCGATATCCAGATACCAGAATTCATACAAATTATCTTAGTCAAACAAGGTTGAAATTTTTGGCAATAAAATCTTCGTAATAATTTAATAATTCAGTATGTGTACTGACTTTCGCTGTTCAACAATAATGGAGTGTGTTGTGGGCTCACATATGAGATAAGCGGTTCTAGCCAACAAAAAAAGATTTAAAAAGTTTGATCTATCTTTTTTTCCTTTCTTTTTTATTATAATTCATTTTCTTTTAAAGATATAAGTTGTAACCAGAAATGAAGAAAATCGTGATAGTTCGAATGCGCTGCTTTGTCTTTGTCACCAAGGCAATATATTGAGCACAAAATACTTTTGTAGCAATATATCAAATATTAACTTGTAGCTAAATGAATTAGCTACAAATATTTTCTTGGTAGCTATAAGGTCGGACACTGAAAGTACCTATGAAATTTTTGCATACATATGTGTGTGTATGCATATGCATTTAGTGGCAATTAATTGTTTACTTAGCTATTTATTTGTAATTAGCTACAAAACATTTCGTCACTAAAATTTTGTAACTGTTTTTTCAATTTCGTATCGAAAAGATGATACATTAGCCACGCCATTGTCTGTCACTGGTCCTTTGGAGTGACAAAATGAATTTTCTCTATTATGGACTATTTGGCGTCAAAGTCTTGCTACCTAATATAATTTGTGACTAATTATAATTTTTTCTAAAAAAAACACAATAAAGAGAAAAAATAACTAGCATTAAGATTTTTAAGTACATCTTAATTAGGTTGCCACCTATCAGACAAGTAAAAATCCATTTCAAGAGTGAAAATGCCTTATTACTGTCGAAGTGTGGAGCCTAATCACGTGGAGAAGAAGAGAAAAAGTCAAGAAAGGAGCGAAAACGGCATGGCGTTGCAGCCCCGGTTAGTGGGCATCACTGCGCCAGCCCGTATATGCACGACTTTGGGAAGAGCTGCCGTGGTGCCAAGTCGGCGTTTTTTTGTTGATTGGGATTTTTTTTTTATTTTTTTATTTTGTACAACATATATACCTATCATTAGGGTTTTTTAGTGTGACGCTTTTTTGAGAGAAAATAGAGTGTTGAGAGGCTCGAAACACTATTGAGAGCGAGAGAAAAATAAGAGTGATCGAGTGATTCTTTTATAACAATCTTCAACAAAGTATAATTAAATTAGTGAATCTGTATAAAAGCTCTTATTGTAATTGTGCGTATATTTTTCTTTTCGCCATTTTACTCTCTCCATTCTCAGTATTCAAATTATGTTTAGCGTAATTTTCCCTAACAATTAAAACCCTTTTGAAAATAAAATCCAAAGAAAAAATCCAAAAGGAAGAAAAGTCAAAAGAGTGCATAATTCGGGGACAACTAAAAAAAAATGAAGACCTCCGTTAGTGTGAAATAAAAAGATAAAAAAAAACTTTGTTCGCTTCACGGATTCGAACTTTTAATTTAAATTGAGATGTGACATTTTTCTAAAGCTTTTAACTGTAACAAAAAAAGTTAAATGTGACATTTTTTTAAGAATTTTTAACTGTAAAAAGTTAGAACTGAAAACTCGAATCGGTGAAATAAAAAATGCCAAAAATTATTAAATCCTAACATGTAAAATTATGGAGTTAAACCCCCGTTAAACTCCTATTAAATCACACATGATACTCGTGACGTGAACATTTCCGTCTATTTTTAACAATTATTTAACTTGAACAAATTAGTAGATTTGAGATACATTATGCGACGCTTAAAAGTTATGATTTAAAATATGATTTTACCTATGATTACCCAAGCAAAAAAGAAAATAAAGCCAACTAGACAGAGGACACCGAAAAGATACTGATAAAAATATATGTAGAAGGTAGAAACAAGATATTATTGAGGCGAAATAAAAGATTTGATAAGATCAAGTAAAGAAAATTAAGGCGATGGATTACTTGGAAACCATTGATTAGTGACTGTCCCTTTTAACAAAGTACACCACAGACACCGCCAAAACTTTTGTAAAGATTATAGCAAACGTTATCATTTTGATAATTTATAATCTGAGCTAAAAAAAAAAGAAAAAAAATAGTAAAGGAGTTCAATTTATTTTATAATAACGTTAAGATTAGAGGAACTTAAAAGATCATTAGATCATGATCATAACGAAAGAGCAAGAAGTATGGACTGTAGTTTTGGTAACTCTCTTGTGTTGGATGTCAAAAATTTCACTAGTCTTTATTCTGCTATATATATATATATATATATACACACACACACACACACACACACACACACACACTAGGTAGCTCTGCCTTTCATGATGACTCTTATGATCTAATTGTCAAAGATATTATGACGTCCAGCTTAATTAGAGATCACTACCTACAAAAGACAATAAACGCTCATTTAGTTCGCTAATTCGAGTTAAGATGTGATTTTATGTGAAAATTTTTTATTGTAATAAAAAAGTTAGATGTGACTGTTTCTGAAAATTTTTTACTGTAACAAAACTTGAATTTTAAACTCGAATCGGTGAAATGAACGGGGTCCAAAAAACCTAAATAGGAATAAAAAAATTGTTCAAATGGCATAGGGGAGTATTTAATATAATGCTAGTTCTTGTATAATGAACCATTAAAATAATCATAAACCTCTAAGCTAAATTAGAGGATTTTTTTTATTTTTTAGCAGCAGCGACAAAGCCGAGCGCAATACAGCTAATGTAATACAGCTAACAGAAGCAAAGTAATTGATCCTGTTATTATATATGCATTTGTGGAAGCATGTGCTAAAAGTGTTGGAAGCGCACATGGCATCTTCAATTTCTTGATCTCAAAATGTTTAGATGGACAAAAAGAAACTTTTTTGAGTACCAATTTATTGATAAAGTGAGTTTTTAATAATTAAATTTAATTAAAATTACGTTATATTAATAAAAATATATATGATAGATAATCTTTTATATAAATTTAAAGACTAAAAAATAGAGAAGTATTATGTCTATTTAGTTTATTGATTTAAATTTTTAATTTTAATTGATATATAATTTTATATGAAAATCTTTTTTTATAATAAAAAAATTAAATATAATTAATTTTTAAAATTTTTATGATATTTATGATTTAATTTTTTTAATCCTATTAAAAAATTTCCCAGGCAAAATAGTCCCATTTGTATAGTTTCTTTGCAGCTTTTAATTTCTCTCTCCGAGCTCTTGTCGCCTCGCATCATGTCCAAGGTACTTCTTTTCAAAAAGTGATTAGACCAAAAGCATCAAAACCCGCTCTAGAAAAACTATCGTCTCCCCCTTTAAACAAAACTAGCTTTCAATGATCCAAGGTAAGGAACAAAAAAGGGCACGTAGTGGGTTTCGCAAGTCGCAACAAAAGTACTTCTCCCGCGTTATACACTTCCTTTCTAAACTTTTTATATATATGGAAAAAATTTTATATTAATATACCTTGTGTTTTAATATAATTATATTTAATACTTTATATTTTTAATATTTTTAAATTAATATCTCGGAGTTTTAAAAAATTATGTTTTAATTATATAAGGTCATTTTTTTGAAATGTAAAAATGTCAAAGTTACTTTTTTTTATTAATTAATTAAAAAAATTAATAATAAATTTATAAAAATTTTGAGATTTTTTTAAAATATTTAAAAATTAAAAACAAAAATAATGCTTCAAATTAAAAATAATTTTTTCTTAATTTTTTTTTCAATTTAGTAGTTTTTAATAAAGTAATGAGAATGAAAAATTTAACATTTTACATAAAAAAAAATAACCTTAAAGTTAAAAAATAATTTTTTAAAACGTCAAGACGTCAATTTAAAATTACTAAAAACACAAGATATCAAAATACAGGATACCAATAAAAATTTACCATATATTAGGAGACATTTATAGTGTACATTTGTATGTTTTGAAATTTAAAAAGTAGTTTGGATTTATGCAACGTTTTGTTGATTTTTTATTAGTTCATTTGTGTAGCGTCACAAAGTAAAAACTTCAAATTTCTTGCACAAATTCAAATTAGCTGAGTTTTTTTTTTTGTGGCATTTATCAAATTTTATTTCTCTTCTATATAGTCATTTTGAACGCTAGATACAAAATTTTGCTATACCCAAATCTTGAAATGATCAAACGGTTCATAAATAATATAGTACTCGTCTTTGCTATGTAACATGTAACAAGATATTTATGATTTAATTTTTTTAATCCTATTAAAAAATTTCCCAGGCAAAATAGTCCCATTTGTATAGTTTCTTTGCAGCTTTTAATTTCTCTCTCCGAGCTCTTGTCGCCTCGCATCATGTCCAAGGTACTTCTTTTCAAAAAGTGATTAGACCAAAAGCATCAAAACCCGCTCTAGAAAAACTATCGTCTCCCCCTTTAAACAAAACTAGCTTTCAATGATCCAAGGTAAGGAACAAAAAAGGGCACGTAGTGGGTTTCGCAAGTCGCAACAAAAGTACTTCTCCCGCGTTATACACTTCCTTTCTAAACTTTTTATATATATGGAAAAAATTTTATATTAATATACCTTGTGTTTTAATATAATTATATTTTAATACTTTATATTTTTAATATTTTTAAATTAGTATCTCGATTTTAGAAAATTATGTTTTAATTATTTAAGGTCATTTTTTTGAAATGTAAAAATGTCAAAGTTACTTTTTTTATTAATTAATTAAAAAATTAATAATAAATTTATAAAAATTTTGAGATTTTTTTTAATATTTAAAAATTAAAAACAAAAATAATGCTTCAAATTAAAAATATTTTTTTTTTTCAATTTAGTAGTTTTTAATAAAGTAATGAGAATGAAAAATTTAACATTTTACATAAAAAAAAAATAACCTTAAAGTTAAAAAATAATTTTTTAAAACGTCAAGACGCCAATTTAAAATTACTAAAAACACAAGCTATCAAAATACAGGATACCAATAAAAATTTACCATATATTAGGAGACATTTATAGTGTACATTTGTATGTTTTGAAATTTAAATAGTAGTTTGGATTTATGCAACGTTTTGTTGATTTTTTATTAGTTTATTTGTGTAGCGTCACAAGTAAAAACTTCAAATTTCTTGCACAAATTCAAATTAGCTGAGTTTTTTTTTTTTTTGTGGCATTTATCAAATTTTATTTCTCTTCTATCTAGTCATTTTGAACTCTAGATACAAAATTTTGCTATACCCAAATCTTGAAATGATCAAACGGTTCATAAATAATATAGTACTCGTCTTTGCTATGTAACATGTGGAAGTATATATAGCACTATAAACACAGACATTTATTTATTTTTATATAAAAATGACCGTGCAAATGTGTAATAATCATCTCCGACAAAATTTTTTTTTTATTTTTGATTAATAAAAAATAAATTTCTTGCTATTATACCTTACAAAACTTATTATTATATATTATGACTCTCTCACTTATGCATGCCTGAAGCTTTCGCCAAATAATACAAGTACTATTCTTCAGTATATCACCACAACAAATACTTTTCTGACTCTTGTCTTTTACCCTACCCTTTTTCAACCTCCAATATTATTTCATTCTCTCGAGCAACAAAGAAAAACCAACAAAAGAAACCCCCCCCCCAACAAAAAAAACAACCCCCCCCCCCCCCCCCCCAAAAGATTATCTCCAAACCAAAAAAAAAAAAAAGAAAGAAAAAAAATGGCACTGAGCAACAATGTCATCGGTGCCATAAACTTTGTGGCCGTGCTCCTCTCGATCCCCATCATCGGCACCGGAATCTGGCTCAACTCACAGGCCGACAACGCCTGCGTCAAGATCCTGCAATGGCCCGTCATCATCCTCGGCATCCTGATCTTGGTCGTGGCTCTCGCCGGGTTTGTCGGAGCTTTTTGGAGAATCCCGTGGCTGCTCGTGACTTACCTCGTCGCCATGTTGATTCTCATCGTCTTGCTTGCGTGTTTGGTGGTTTTTGTGTACATGGTCACCTTGAGAGGCTCCGGTCACCTCGAGCCAAGCCGCGCTTACTTGGAGTATCGTCTCGACGACTTCTCCGGTTGGCTTCGGCGGAGAGTGAGAAGCTCCTACAAGTGGGAAAGGATTAGGACTTGCCTTAGCTCCACCAGTATGTGTGCTGAGTTGAACCAGAGTTATCGCATGGCTCAAGATTTCTTTAATGCCCACATTAACCCCTTGCAGGTATAAAAAAACTTGACACAATTTTTTGGTTTAGTTTTTTTGCTTAATTAGTTTTAGTGCAGAGATGAATAACATGAATTATTGCGTTATTGATATATTATCTAAACTCTAAAGTGGTGTTTCAATTTTTTTATTTTACGTATTTAGATTGTATTTTGTTTTTGTTTTTTTTGTTTGTTTGTTTTGTTTTGTTTTGTTTTTTTTATTATTTTTAAGAATAGTTCACAAAAAGGAAAGCAGAGAATCAGCTTCTTGAAAATGATTTTTTAAAAAGAGTAGCGTACAAGTGGATTACAAACATCTCTAAAATCAAAGTTTTGGAGATATGTGTCTTTAAATATTGTGAAATATGCTTCACAAAAAAAAATTAAAAATAAAATTATAATTGCTTGTTTAGTTGTTTTACATTTGCTGCTTTTGCCAGCATATAATATGTAGCTCATTTCCTCCTTTTTTTAGTTTCTTTTTTTGTTTGTTAAAAAAATTTCAAGGAATATGAAAAATATTGGGCGCGTTTAAAATTCGTTCTAAAATAATTTTATTTTTTATATGAAAATAAAAATAAAAATATTTTCAATGTCAGACATAAATTATATTTAAAATACGTTTAGTAGTTTTATCAAGAAATTATTTTCAGTGTAAAAAAACTCACTAATGTCTCTCTTTTTCTCTCTTTACTCGAGAGAAGAGAAAACGAAAACAAAAAATGAAAAACAACTAAAAATCATTTTTTATTTCTCTTTCATTTTACATTAAACTAAAAAATTATTTTTATTTCTGTTTTTACTTTTATTGTGTCAAACGCCGTTTTTAAAACGTTTTCATTTTTTCTTTCTCAAAAAACGTGAAAAACAAAAACGAGATCAATTCTTAACTAATTTCTGGTTAATTACTTTTCACATTTTAGTTCAATAAATAAATAAATAAATAAAACATTTCTCGGTAAGCATATCCATCCTTCTAGTTTCTTCTCATAGAAACCCCAGTCATGAGGTCAAATTATTCTACAATTAAGCAACCTCCATCTAAAGCCAGAACTACAAACAAAGCATATGGAATAACAATTAGCTTAGACAAAAAACTAAACCACATGATACAGTGATCAAGATTGCTCAACAACATATACATACATAAACTAATCTTTATCTTTCAAAAATATTCCTCCTCTTTATCTTTTTCATTTCTTTCTTTTGCCTTTTCTCTTTACAGTCAGGATGTTGTAAACCACCAACCCAATGTGGATACACGTTTGTGAACCCAACATACTGGATAAGCCCCATAAACACAGCGGCCGACATGGATTGCCTCAATTGGAGCAACGACCAGACACAGCTTTGCTACAACTGCGACTCCTGCAAAGCCGGTCTGCTTGCGAATCTACGGAAAGAATGGCGAAGAGCGGGTGGCAAAAAGAGCGGTCGTCGTCTTGCTCATAACCCTAATTGCTCTTATTGCGGTCTATTTGTTAGGATGTTGTGCCTTTAGGAATGCCAAAACTGAGGATCTCTTCCGCAGATACAAGCAAGGTTACACCTAGAATAATTCATGTATTCTAATTAATTCTCAGGGACCAAAGCGGGGGGGAAAAAAATCAATAGTAAATGTAGTCCGCGGTGATCGTCAGATTTTTATCAAGTTCTGTCATATTCACGTGCTTTTCTGAATTTAATACAATTTGATATGATAAGAGGTGGAGAATTCATTTCCTAGGTGTTGTAGTAATATATTGAGATTTTATGAAACAATTCCTATATGTTTGCTGGTTGGGAATTTGGATGTTTTGTCGTTATCATGATCTTGAGAATTGTGCATGAAAATGAAAATTTACTTTGTTTTGATTTGCATTTGGTGTTTGAGTTAGAAAAAAGTGTGTGTGGGGGCTTGGTGATAATGTTGAAAATATGTGGTAAGGAGACCAAGGAGGACGTGATTTGCGGAGGGCACCGAAAGCTGCAGACCACTTTTTTGAATTACTGGTGTCTTGGATAGTGGGGTAAGTTTTCAGGGTAGTTTCAACTTTCAAACGCTCTGCTCTGTCCCATTTCCCATTCACGTGATTTTGGCAATAATAGAAAGAATATAAAAAGACCATCTCCAAAGTATATATACTAAGGTCTCGTTCACTCCGCGAATTCGAGTTTTTAATTCGAGCTGAGATGTGATATTTTCTGATAGTTTTTACTGTAACAGAAAAAATTAAATGTGACATTTTTTGAGAGCTTTTTACTATAAAAATCTAAAACTGAAAACTCGAATCGGTAAAATGAACGAACCCTAAATGTTAGCATTGCTATATTTGACACAAACAATATTATATAAAAATAAGATGTTTGAGATGTATTATTTTTGGCACCATTGCATTATGAATTAATGATTCCTTAAATGCAATATTTACTTCTCTTTTTTTTCATAAACTTTTAAGTGTTGGAACGAGTAAAAGAAAGAATTTTTAGTTCTTTAAGAATTAAAAATGACAAGATTTTAATTATTAAATTAAAAAGTAATAAAACAGCAACAAATGTCCTACTTTAACATAAACAAGAAAACCATATGTTTTACATATGTGTATGTATATATTGCTAAAAAAAATCATCAATTGTTACAAGGTCTACATTTCATACTATATATTTAAGGATAAACAATATTGCTAATATATCATTGCTCGATTTCGTCTCAATGCCACAATTCATTCACAAAATGCATGAGCATAATTTAGGCCATTATTTTGCTTCTTTAGGCTTTTGAACGAGTTTTGGCAATTGAAAACCCTAGCTTCTTTAGATCTTGATTCTTGAGCTGTGTGGTGTTGCTAGTATATATATATATATATTTTTCTTTTACACAATGCAAGATTGAGATTAAACCCTACTAAATCTAACCCTCATTTATCTTCCCCATGTCATTTGAACTTGCACCCTCCCAAATCCAACCCTCATCTAGCATTATAATATTGTACATACTCTATGACGGGCAACCAATTTTCCTCTATTACTAGAGCAGAAGTTGTGGTGAAATACCTGATTTTTAAAACTAAATTCAGTAAATAATAAATTTTAAAATATTTAAAAAATAACAATAAAAAGGTTTTTTTATCTCGTAATTTTTTTTACGACTAGATTTATGTGGTAAAAAAACAATTTTCCACATAAATTTTAAATTTACTACATTTTATTTTAAATAATTTTAAAATCTCTTATGCGGTAACGAGTACTAAAATATATACGAGTCGGTATCATGTAGGTTACCGGTTGGTAACCAATTGGTATCTGGATGGGTATTGGCCGCTGTGGATACCAGCCGGTGTCACCGCGGTTAGAGATTGGTAATCGGTCGGTGACACGGCGGTTACAGATTGCTAACCAGCCGTTATCAAAGTTTATACTAATTATTATACCATAAGGGTATGTTTAGTATTTTAAACATAGTGTGATTATTTTTTACAAATGTTTTTTTTCAGACATAAGTCAATCTAAGCATGAATAATGTGGCAGTCCTCTAAAGTTCCCAATAGCCCAATAAAGATATAGTGCTCGGCCCATACTGTGCCCTGCTACTTACGAACTGATCTCCAGCTACATCCCAAGGCAACCGAACACGAACACGCGTGAAGTGAAACTCGAGTTAAGATATAAGTTTTTGTAGGAGCTTTTTACTGTAATAAAAAAGTTAAATTTAATTATTTTTTAGAGTTTTTTACTGTAGAAAAACTTAAATTATAAATTTAAATCGATGAAATAAACGGGGCTGAAATTCTTCCTCTTTGGGTAATTGGAGAATGCAACTCTTACAAATACATACATGAATTTTGCATCTGCCGTATACAATGATGAAGTCAGAGGGGGGTCTAGTTTTTTTTTATCCCTTTTTTTAATATAATAATTTTAATTTTAATATAATAGATATGTGTATAAATTAAACTTAACTTTTTATTACTTTTTTAATATAATAATTTTAATTTTAATATAATAGATATGTGTATAAATTAGATTTGGCCACCCATAAATTAATGGGAAGGAGCCACGGCCCTCCTAGCTTTTATTTTTTATTATTTTTAATATAATAGTTTAATTTTAATATGAGATATGTGTAGAACTTAAACTTGGCCCTCATAAATTAATAGTTCTCTACATTTTATTGAGCTAACTATTTAGATTTAAAAAAATAAAACATTCAATTTTATTACCTCCATAAACATTAGTATAATCTTGATAAAAAAAATTTTTTACCCTCGCTATTGATAAATCCTGACACCTTCACTGGCTGTATATGGCTAATTTTTCACCCCGCCGCTTTCTCGGGTCTGGTAACTTCTTTAGTATTACCGATGAAATCAACTAATTTGTCATTGTGGTTGCAAGTATAGTTTAACGTTAATTTCAGACACCGTATTAACAAAAATAAAAAACCTTTTATAGCTTAGTTATTTGTCCCTCGGCCTCACTCCCTTTTTGGAACTAAAATCAATCGTTAACTAATGAAAAATCTGCAGAGTGGTCAGCTATTAGGCCTATCGTAGGAATAAAGTGATATGATGCTAAGACAATGCGACCATGCAATCAATACTTACGTAGTTTTATTATAAACACTTAAAACGAGTAGTTGTAGCCCTAATCAAAAGCACATGGAAACGTCGTCGCTTAATCCCATCCTCCAACAGAAAAGTAAGTTCAAGCCCTTCACTCCTTTATTTAAGCCTCTTTATCTATGTTTAACCATTGTTTTTTTTAACTGTATTATTTAGTCACTACACAAATGCCACAATGAAAAAATAACATGCAGAATATGAAAAATAACCCATAAGTTACGGAAAATAACTTAAGATAATCTGGAGGTTACAAAAAATAACCTGCAAGTTATTTAGTGACATGAGAAAATAAAATAGTGTTACTTTATTAATACATTTTTAAAATCTCTTCTTAAGAAAACTCTATCCACGCTTACAATCGTTTTTCTGAATTCTGGATAGGATAATATCCTACATATATCGAACCAAAGTCGCTTATTATGTGTTTTGTTTTAATCAAATGTATTCGAATAATATTTAGAGCTTGAACTCTTGTTTCTAGAAGGATAATCTTGACAAATATTCTTTAAAATACATAGGTAAAGATTTATATTCTTTACTCTTGATTTACAATTTTTTTAGTCAAATAATTATTGTAATAAATTGGTATTTATTAAGAATAAGAGATAAAAATTTATACACTTTTAAAGATAAATTCTATAATTTTTTCTTTCTTTTGTAATACAGTATGTGGCTAAAATCAGACAGCACACGATATTTGGATTTCCAATGCTGAATCGCACAAGCGTTTATTGGGCCTCGGCCATTTAGTGGAGTTTTCTGGGCCTAAGTAGAAAAATGAGCATGAAAAAAAAAAAAGAAAAATACTCCTTAAAGTGCATAGATCATGATTTTTATTTTTTACTCTTGATTTACAATTTTTTTAGTCAAATAATTATTATAATAAAATGGTATTTATTAAGAATAAGATATAAAAATTCATACACTTTTAAAGATAAATTCTGTAATTTTTTCTTTCTTTTGTAATACAGTATGTGGCTAAAATCAGACAGCACACGATATTTGGGCTTCCAATGCTGAATCGCACAAGCGTTTATTGGGCCTCAGCCATTTAGTCGAGTTTTCTGGGCCCAAGTAGAAAAATGAGCATGGAAAAAAAAAATGAGACAAATACTCCTTAAAGTGCATAGATCATGATTTTTATTTTTTACTCTTGATTTACAATTTTTTTAGTCAAATAATTATAGTAACAAAAGTATATTTATCTAAAAATTCATACACTTTTAAAGATAAATTATGTAATTTTCTCTTTCTTTTGTAATATAGTATGTGGCTAAAATCAGACAGTACACGATATTTGGGCTTCTAATGCTGAATCGCACAAGCGTTTATTGGGCCTCGGCCATTTAGTGGAGTTTTCTGAGCCCAAGTAGAAAAATGAGCATGGAAAAAAAAGAAAATGAGATACTCTTAAAGTGTATAATTCAGGATTTTTATTCTTTACTTTTGATTTACAATTTTTTTAGTCAAATAATTATAGTAACAAAAGTGTATTTATCAAGAGTAAGAGGTAAAAATTTTAAAAGTAAATTCTGTAATTTTCTCTTTCTTTTGTAATATAGTATGTGGCTGAAATCAGAGAGTACACGATATTTGGACTTCCAATGCTGAATCGCACAAGCGTTTATTGGGCCTCAGCCATTTAGTGGAGTTTTCTGAGCCCAAGTAGAAAAATGAGCATGAAAAAAAAAAAGGAAATGAGACAAATACTCTAAGTGTATGAGTATACATTTTTATCCTTTACTTTTGATTAATATTCTTTTACTATATCAGTTAAAAAGATATTAATTAAGAGTATGAGTAAAAATCAAGACTCATACACTCTTAAAATTAAGTTCAGCTCTTTAGAAAAATAGAGAGAATGAAGTACATAGCGGTAAATAATTGAAGTTAATAGCGGGTTTTAAAAGTACTTGAAGTAAATAGCTGCAAATAGCAAATGTATTATACAAATCATTTAATTATCTAATAAATTTGTTATTTACTTCTATCATTTACCTTGTAAATTTTCTATTTACTGCTATTTCAAATGTTTTAAAATCTTGTCATTTACTTATCTTAATTTCATAAAAATGTTATTTACTAAAACTTTATACCATCCATTTTGAAAATTCATTAAATATATACCAACATTTAAAATGTATATACTAACACCCTGGACCAGTCTTTCAAGCTAGCTCAATTAGTGTTTAATGTGTCTGTAGTTTTTC